TTGGCTAGAGTAGAGACATTGACCTTCTATCAGGAGGTAACTCATAGCTGACAATTTTCTTTATTCTCATTACCTGCCTGACTTAACCTCTATAAGAAAAATGCATGGAGAATTTTCATATTGATCAATTTGGTCACTGAAAAAGTTAAAACATACCTCAGATCAAGATGGTGAGCTCCACCTTTGACCAGAAGTGCCACCAGTGTTGGTGAGACATCTTCTAACACCTAAAATATAATCAATACATTTTAAATCCAACAACCATCTATGATTCCATCAATGATGGAAGCAACAAGAGCCTTCAAATACCATTAACTTACCCCACCAGGTCTCCATGGATCCAGGTCACCATTGGAAAAAATAATATTAGAAGATGAAGATATATCTGAAAAACCATTTAATACAATAAAGTGTCTTTTATTCTAGCACTACAATTAGGACTTCTCTGACCATAAAACTAGAACGAGGAAGGTTTCACAGTGACTTAAACACTAACTGAGAAACTCAGAAAACTGTGGTCACTGAAATAAGTGTGAAATACTATTGTATCAAGGAAAATAAATCCATCAAGCATGAGAAATTTTCAATACAGACAGGAATCCTAGTTTTAAGATTTGTTTTCAAGTCTCATCTGATTAGTCATCGCACATTCTGGACTTTTTCCAGGTGTTTTAATTTTGACAAAAATTCTGGATCACTTTTAAAATCAAATACTGATATTGCTGCCATTCAGAAAGGAAAAGGAGTGGATCTATGAAAATGGGATTTGAAACAGTAGTGTAACCTGATGCTTAGCATGATAGAGTCAAGATCACAAGGTCTGGTTCAATCAAGCCCTGCTCAGCATCACAATCACATGCTGTGCACAACAACTGATTCACACTCTTTCCTACCAGGAGTGCTTTTGGGTGGCAGTTGAGCTTACAAAGGAAATCATGTCAGGGAGAGTCAACAGCAATCATTTAACATCCCATCCAGATGAGGTAGCAAAGCAATTGGTCAATTCTTACCCTGTTTTTAGTAGCTGCCTTAATAAAATTCTTCCTTTTCAATCTAACAAGATCTCTTACTATGTATTTCAATGTCTTAAGGAAACCAACCTTTCCCCCATAACTGTATGGGTGCCCAGTTAGGTTGAGGTATCACACCCCATTTTTTCTGGCAGTATGTGGATATCATTTCTGGAGTCCATGGCAGAGGTGGAAACATGTCTGTCTTGTTGTTAGAACCAGCTGGAAGAGTGAGCTCAGCACAAGCCTGAAAAGATGAAATATAAATCTTATTTTGACAAATTGAAACAAACAAAATTCTTGAATAGTTCAGTGGACAGGCAAAGCTTGGATTGTATGTGCCATTTGTTTCCTGAACACGAGCAGGCAAGAAAGGTTCATTCTCTATAGAAAGTGATTCGAGAAGGAAACTTCACATGGAATGATCACTTAAGTAGGATATGCAACCCAATACTTGATAGTCCCATGCAAGGCTGTCTGGACCCAGGCCACACCCAGTGGGGTCTGCACATTCAATGTACTCTGTATCTGGATCCAGACAAGTCAGTGCACCATTAGTGCCATTGTAGACTAAAGCTGTGACCTCAACCAGACCTTCAACCTTGGATGATGCACTTGCTATTATTTTACATGCCTAGTTCACAGGATGCCCAGGAAGTGGAGCCAGAAAGTCTGTTGGGTAAGGATAATCACCCATGGCTAGGGTTGTGAAAGAATTGCAAATCCAGCCTAACATGTGAGGGATCTAAAATGAAAACAAAAAATAAATAATTGGTGAAACAATATATGGATGAGGGTCAGAAGGGAAGACATACAACAAGAGTGAGGGAGACAGTTGAGCACCGATAATGATAATAATGACATTAATTAAAATTAAATAATAATAATAATAATTATAATAATAATAATAATAATGAAAATAGTACTACTACTACCTACTATTAGTAATAATGATAATAAACAGCAACAATAACAACAATACTGGAATTCAGCAAAGGCACATCTACAAGGAAGCCTTAAATTCTGTTTTTCAGGTAAATTTTTTTACAGAAATCAAGCACAAACTCAAGCCACACACTCAAACTCACAAAATCAAGCCATGCGTGACACCAGACTAAGAGATATCAGGAGGAAATGGAAGAGGTACTGGGTGAGAGAGGGAGGGAAACTAAAGCCAAGTGACAGGAGTAAAGTAGCACTAGTTTAGGAGCATGACCAAGATATCCAACCAGCCCACCACCCCATGCCCAGACCTCTGCTGTTTCAGAGCATGCCAACAACATTGGACACCAACTGCTTTGGAGTGACGTTAAGTTGATTGATTGTGATCCTCACTGGTACACTTGAAGGGTCAGAGAGACCTAAGACTTTACCCTAACAACATCAACAGGAACAGTAGAATACAAAATCCTGAAGTGATGCCCAAAAATTATAAAAAAAAAAACAAAGAAACAAAAAAAAAACACTACAACTGGAGAGCCATATGACGGCAGACCACCAAGGGAACAACTCACTAACATCAAGGATTGAAATGCGCCAATCACTGTGGTGGAAAAGAACAAACATGCAATTACAGTGGTGCATCCTGCTTTATAAAAAGACCCTAATCCAGTTGACCTTATCACCTGATGAAGACTCGCAGTATGCAGTCAAAACATCCTGATCCACATCATATGTGATCACATTGAGAGACAAACCATAATACTTTATTATTATAGCAATGATGTAGTAAATAGGCTAACAGATAGTTACAATGTAATAATGAAATCCTGCTTCCTATAACAAGTGTTATCATAGTTTTTGAGTGATGACCAAATAATCCTTGCCTGTTCTGTTGACTTGAGAGGTTTGCAGAGTTTAAATAGTTTTTAGAGTTCAGCAAGTCCTATAAAATAAAGGAAGAATTTCAAATAAATTCAAACTGAAATAGAACTCCACACCAGTTTCACTCACAGAGAATTATTGATCTCCAAGTACAGAACATTGTGAACATCATGAACCATCACTTGTACATGCCATAATGTAGGATGTAACCAGCCCCTTGTCATATTTACCCATATAAATGACAGTCACTCACTCAGACAGCTTGTTCAAAAGGAGTCTGATTCACTTACTTAATGTACTCCTTAATACTAACCCTTTACACCCTAACATCAGTAAGAATATTCTCCATACTGTTCTCTATACATTTCCTGAAGCACTGACAAGGAGAATTTGTTTAAAAGTCAAGAGCTTTATAAGTAGGTGGTCATTTCCTTGATTCCTGTGACCTTAATATTTGATTCAGGGGTGATATAATTGTAAGGAGAAATTAGAATCTGGTCACTCTTAGGCACACTCATCCCTCACAATGGGATTATTACCTGTTCCCCAGTCCCCTGCCTAATACCAACATTCCACCTTTCCAACCTGCAACTTACAGCAAAAGATGTAAACCCCTTCATTTTCAAGATTTGACAAGTATTTCTCCTCTTGAGTTCCTACTCATTTTCTTTTAAATTGTTAAGAGAATTTAATATTAGGATAACACAATTGATAAAACCTATTTTCTGGTTTTTGCATTGTACATTAGATTAATTGAGGGTTCAGCAACTCCATGGATTTTCTACAGCTAACTCTGATTCATTTTACCTTCTACACCTTGAGTTTTCAGCATCTCAATCATTTCAGAAGCTGTAATAACATAATCTGGACAATTGGCATCAGCATTTAAAAAGTCCTTGGAAATAAATGACATAATTATATTAATTGATTTATTATAAAGTCTGGCCATGTTGCAATAATTTTGTAGTTATTGTTGATAGTTTTTCTTTTGTTGATATCATTAAAAAACAAACAGATATTTTGGATATTATCCAGTAGGAGCAATAATGTCTAGAATTGAATCAGATAACAACTTGTTTTTTCATTGTCCTCAATTACATTTCTCAGAAATGAGAAAAATTACTCTGACTCTCTCAAATCTTTTACTATTGACAAATTCTGACCTTTAACTCCCAGATCTCATTATTAATTCTCCTTACTATATGCTATACAATTCTTATGATGTTACTTTGGAGAATTTCATATCGGATCAACTAATGATCTCATTTGACATTTTTCTTCAGTCTCATCACTTGTCTGCTTGATGTTGTAAGGAGATATTTTGTCTTGGTCACTCATGACATGGGAGTTTAATGTTTAGTGAATTAATTGTTTCCCTGATGTTATGGAGAGGACAACTAATTATCAACCTGAACAAGAGAAAAAGCTGAAGAGGTTGAAACATCAAAAAGAAAAGAAAAATTACCATTACCTTTGTCACTGCAGTGAAGAAAAAGTCTCTTTCACTTCCACAGAAATTGGTCATGTAAATTGAAGCACTGGCTGCCAACCAACATCTATCACATTTGGATATTTATACCCCATGTAAGCACTCAGCATTCCACCATAACTGAAAAACAATCAAGGAAAGGTTAATGATGCAGAATATTTAATTACACTAAATTTAACAAGTCTCAATTCAATCCCTCTTCTTGGTCTCAAAGCAGGGTTTATATTTCCTTTCTGTGTATACTAAAAATATTACATTTATGGTGCTGATTGTTTGTCAGCATATAATTTATTTCCAATATTTAATCCTCCTCTGAAACAAGTCAAAATAATTTGGAATTTGTACTTATTCTGGAAGCATACAAATATTCACATTTTGTATGGAAACAGACTAGAATCTTGTTATTGGCAAAGAGTTTAGACTCCTTGCCTGGAAGAGATCACAATGCAATTTCTCTTTACAATATCAATACAATATTGAGATCTCGGATGTGAAAAGGTTAAAAAGCTGTTTGCATTGTTCCATTGGAAGATCCATCAAAAGATGGAAACAAATATAATTCACTTGACTATGTAGCCCTGGTCAATCTAACTTAAAACTTTGCAGTTTCAGCATACAGCTTTAAAATGCTTGAGAAATTTCTTTTCTTACTGTTTTTCTTGACTACATATGTTGATTAAAACTCATCTGCACTAAACATTAACAACTGAAATAGAAAATGTATTTCATAAAAAGGGTCTTCAGTTAAAATTCTCTTTTAACCATCTTAAATGAAACATGATCTTTAGTTTGTGACCTAACTTGAGTATAGAGATCATATCATGAATATCAGTGCAAGAACAATCAAACACCATTAATACAAGTGTATCTTCAACCTGAGTTTCAACCAAGCACATGACACTCACTGGATACCTGAGTGCATGTAACAAGACATTTAGTAAATGGCAGTAACTATTACACCTTTCTTTCTGAAAGATGAGTCAATTAAGACAGGAAGGTCTTTCTCAAAGTCTCTCCTCTAACTGAATTGTACAGCCACTTGGCCATGAAAGGTCTGGGTACTAGACTAGGCATTTCCTATTTTATCAAATCAGAAAAATGAGGTGAAGTATGCTTAGCACACAAAGCCTGGGTGTTTTTCTCTGATACTGATTACCACTGTGCTATCAAATAAATGAAGTATCAGTTGAATTTTTCTTACTTTTCAATCCTAGAAAATTGACTAAAGTTAATGAAAAAAAAGTATAAGCAGTCCACAGTCCTTTTTCTTCCTTTTTCCAGGCTTTGTAGTTAAGCATTTTGATTTTGACAGATATCTACTATCCTACTATTGGGAGAGCTCAACAGTATTTGTCACAGAGAAGGGGCTTGCATAAAGTTCCTTCTTTCAAGAAATGTGATGTAATTACAACTTACATGGCAAGGTTGAAACAGAACATATCAACAAGATTCCCTTCCCTGCCACTTCTTCAAGCCATTTCAATCTTTCATTGCAATGTCTCCCTGCAAAGGAAGCCACTGATTTCAAGAGCTACAGGGTGAACCATATAGCCACACTTGGAGACCACATTGGTGCCACAGATTAGGTAGAGGTTGAAGCCCTTAAGTCTGAGTGAGAACACCTCAAGTTCGTTGCACAGGATTCCCAAAGCCAGGGAATACTCCAACTGAGTGGTTGCTAACCAAGATATGCAGCATTTCATCACTCAAAGTAATGTTTCCAAACCTGGTGAAGTTGTCTGCTGTAGCCCAGAGCCTGTCTGTGACTAATGCCTGGCCAGAAAGAGGCGCAAGCGATTTGAAGTGGATAAAGACAAGGCTTCGAAATTCATTGAAAGATGACATGCTTGACTCCTTGTTACAAATTTCCATCAATGGGCCCCTGTATCAAAAGCAAAAGATGTAATAGAACAAGCAGTTAAACTCAGTTGCCAATTATCAATTCACACCCGCCAATGCAGAATTCCGCAAAAATGACAACTTGTCAACTTTGAGACAAGGCAAAACCACTTGACACTTAACACCATGTTCTTCACTAATTTCATAACAATGTCTAATAATTGTTTTTGCCCTATTTTATTTTCATTATTTTTTGATTGAGAGAATCAAAAAATTTGCACCTCAGAGTCTAATTTTTAAAAATTTTCTGGGGGAGCATGCCCCCAGACCCCCCTAGGGGCTCAGGCCCTACGGGCCTTCGTTCACACCCTTTGGCCATGTATAGACCTTGGGTTTTTACACCTGCTTCTTAAACATGAATGAGCTCTCTCCACTAATTTATCAAAGTGGAATCAACTACTTACACTGATCTACCAAATGTCTTTACACTAAAATACTTTCACAGTTTTCATTTCCTTCACCAAAGATATTTACTTCAAGGCTAATTGCAGTTGATGACATGTTTGTTACCAAAGCATCAACCAGTCCATGTACCCAGTCTTCATACAAGTTATTCCAGTTACTGAGTGTAAGGTTCAGGGTAACAACCGATGTGTTCTTTGCCAGACCATCAGCCAGATCACGTGTCCACTCTCCTCCCATTTCACTGTAATTGTTGAATGTAAGGCTCAGCGTAGTCAATGACGTGTTTTTCCCCAAACCATCACCCAGAACATGTGTCCACCCTTCTCCCATTTCACTGTAATTGTTGACTGTAAGGCTCAGCGTAGTCAATGACGTGTTTTTCCCCAAACCATCACCCAGACCATGTGTCCACCTTTCTCCCATTTCACTGTAATTGTTGACTGTAAGGCTCAGCGTAGTCAATGACGTGTTTTTCCCCAAACCATCACCCAGACCATGTGTCCACCCTTCTCCCTTATCACTGTAATTGTTGACTGTAAGGCTCAGTGTAGTCAATGACGTGTTTTTCCCCAAACCATCACCCAGAACACCTGTCAAATCTCCTTCCATACCACTGTAAATGACGACTGTAAGGCTCAGCGTAGTCAATGACGTGTTTTTCCCCAAACCATAACCCAGAAAACTTGTAAAATCTCTTTCCATATCACTGTAATTGTCGACTGTAAGGCTCAGTGTAGTCAATGACGTGTTTTTCCCCAAACCATCACCCAGAACACCTGTAAAATCTCTTCCCATATCACAGTAATTGTTGACTGTAAGGCTCAGCGTAGTCAATGACGTGTTTTTCCCCAAACCATCACCCAGAACACCTGTAAAATCTCCTCCAATATCACTGTAATTGTTGACTGTAAGGCTCAGCGTAGTCAATGACGTGTTTTTCCCCAAACCATCACCCAGTCCACGTGTCCACCCTTCTCCCATTTTACTGTAATTGTTGACTGTAAGGCTCAGTGTAGTCAATGACGTGTTTTTCCCCAAACCATCACCCAGAACACCTGTCAAATCTCCTTCCATACCACTGTAATTGTTGACTGTAAGGCTCAGCGTAGTCAATGACGTGTTTTTCCCCAAACCATCACCCAGAACACCTGTAAAATCTCTTCCCATACCACTGTAATTGTCGACTGTAAGGCTCAGTGTAGTCAATGACGTGTTTTTCCCCAAAACATCACCCAGAACACCTGTCAAATCTCCTATCACGTAACTGTAATTGTTGACTGTAAGGCTCAGCGTAGTCAATGACGTGTTTTTCCCCAAACCATCACCCAGAACACCTGTAAAATCTCCTCCAATATCACTGTAATTGTTGACTGTAAGCCTCAGCGTAGTCAATGACGTGTTTTTCCCCAAACCATCACCCAGACCACCTGTCAAATCTCCTCTCATTTCACTGTAATTGTTGATCTTAAAAGCATCTATGTTTGCAAGTAAGTAAATGTTATTGAATACAAGGTTCAATGTAGTTACACACTCATTTTTTGCCAAACCCTCAAAGAGGTTGCATTTCCAGTCTTCACTGATGTTGCCAGGATTGTTTATGCTCACATTAAGCTTTGTTACACAACCATCCTTAACTTTGGCAAATACAGGTGTAATTGGTGAAGAATCATCTGTAGATAAACAAACCTCTCTGCAAATCTTGTTGCCTGAATTAAAGGAATGAACATTAAACGCAAAAAAATATATCTGGTTGCTCGATAGCCTTTGAAGAGTTTTCTTTCCGTCTCCCATCACCTCCCCCCGAATGTCAATACTCAAGTAAGACAGGGTGTCAAGTTTGTTAAAATGCCTAAAAAGACAGTCAGCAACGCTATCAGTTATTCTTCCGTTCATATTCAAATTGACACATGAAGCCGATGAAGCTATAAGGAGTTTACATAGATCAGTTGCTCCTCTGCAATCTAACTCTCCCCAAATGTTGACAGTTACTGAATGTAGTTTTGAAGCTGAAATGTTTTCTTTCAGGACAGGGCAAAGGAAAGCTACCTGTGAATTTCCAACCATGCCAGTAGTATCTGGATACACTGTAAAGGATGTGGTTGACTTTATTGCAGACTGTAGAGTCCCACAAATATTTGCCCAATTTGTAGGAAGCTCACCAAACACTTTTAATTGCAGAGACTCCAAAGACCTGTTTCCTAAAAAGCCTTCTTTTAACACACTCAAACCACTGTGGCTGAGTTTTCCACAAGAAATGAGTGCAAGGGACTTTAGAGAAGAATTTGCCACAAGTCCTTCACTAACAGAAGTTGCAAATGAATCATGCATTTTTCCACCAACAGCAAGGCTTTGAGATGTAAGTGATCTGTTCAATAAAATCTTTCTTAAAAGTTCTGCTTCAGTTTCCGTCCATGGACCAAAAGTCTTGAGTACAATGGAAGTCAGTGGCGTATTGGCAGATAGTCCCTTGTCAAGTATGGCAACATATTCCTCTAAAATCTTACAAGGCAGTTGGAAAGTTAAGGTCATCAAGGTCTTATTTGCAGCCAAGCTGTTACTGATTTCAACAACTTCTACTGAGGAAATATTGGAACAAGTAACCTCAAGAGTAAAGGAATATGCAGTTGAGTCCACTCCGAGTACTCTACACAAAAGAGTTGTAATCTCCTCTGTCATATACATAACAGAAAAGGAAAGCGTTTGTAGCCTTGTGTTGAATGCCACGAAATCAGCTAGTAGGTCATTATTTACATTGGCCTGAACATCATCAAAAACACTTCTTATTGCTAGATGAACAGGAAGCTGTAACTGCGAAGAACTTGTGCAGGCATTCAAAATAATTAACCATTCTGTTGTTAGTTCCTCATCTGATAAGTCAATAGTTAAGGTCTGTGGAAATGGAATAAAGGAACAAAGAACCATTGCCACTTGTTCATAATTTCTACTCTCATGGAAACATTCATGAAAGAAAGTGGCCTCTTCCTCAGAGCACTTGCACCAGTCCCAGTTTTTATCCTTTAGCTTCTTACCAATCTGTTCAAAAAGAACACCAGCTTCCCCACCCAGAATACCTGACATAAAGACAAACACTTGTCTGTACCTCTCTACCAAATCCCAGTGAAAGTTCAACTCAGAAAAATCAACCATTTGTTTCAATAGCATATGTGCTAGATAAAATGCAGCCAGATACTCTTGAAATGTCTTGTGAAAGAAGAAATACTCATGCTGTGGGTTAATCTTCCTTAAGCTGGCTTCCTTGAACACAAGACCAAGTTTGCGAGCTGCAAGACTCTTATGTGCAGATTCAAATTCTACCAACTCTTCTTCACGAAACGAAAATCGACCTTCTTTCAAGCATCTCCAAGCTAACTCTCCAAGAACTAGAAAACTGTCTTCAAAGTGCCTCATTAGAGCTTCGTCACTAACAACATCCGAATCATCAGCAGCACCATTGGCAGCACCAGCAGTTACCTTAAGATTGTGCTTTGCACAATATCTCCGTAAAAGGCAAATGACAATTATCTGATAAAGGTCAGTGCGACAAGATGGTAGATTTCCTTCATAACATTCAAACACGACACAGAGTAGGAGAAGATTCAATGGATTGCTTGGAAGTTCGTGCAAGTAAGAATTTTCCTGAATTGCCTTGATAAGCCGCCCTCCCTTTGGTTCATAATCTTTACCCAAATGTCTGAAGTGCTTCCTGATGTAATCATACGAATCTGCTTCTGTAAACCCTTTGATTTGCAAAAGAACATCAAAGTCCACATTCTGCCGCACTTCAATTCCTTTCTCTTGGCGAGAGGTAGCCAAGACAGAGCAAAATGGTAAAATTCGCCTGTGAAGTAACTTGTCCACAGATCTTTCTGCTGTTTTAGGAAGCTCATCTAGGCCATCCAAAATGATCAAAATTCTTTCCTGGTTATGAATATCCTTGATATAATGTACTACATTTTTCTTAGCATTTTGGTCCATATCTTCAGGGAGGAGCTGATTAACAATAGCTTCCATTACATCTCCATGAAAGTCTCTACATTTCAGCAACAGCACAAGTTCAAACAATGGGAAAGACGATTCATTTGGGATTGTTCCTTTTGCCCAGTCATGAGAGATTTTGAGGCAAAAAGTTGTCTTTCCAATCCCAGGGCTTCCCTCTACAAGAACCATGGCATCCTCACCTTTATTGAGAGTTCTGAAGATGTTAAACATGCCCACTTCATTACCTTCCAACACGAAGTCTGCTTTTCTCCTTGAAACAATTGACAATCTTGTATAGACATCGTCAAGGGCAAGCTTGATGGTGTTCAGCCAAAAGAGTGGTTTCAAAAGAGACCGTCTGTTGTACTCAGCACTGAGTAGTCTTCTCAACACAGCAAGTTCATGGTCTACACAAAATTGACCAAAACAAAATTAACTTCTCTGACTCTTAAAAATTGCTGAGTAAACTCACACTAGCTGGGAAGACCTTTTTAGCAACATACATCAGTTTTAGTCAAAATAACCAATTTATCATTATAGCAAATTAACAATTATGAGCAAATTTTCCTTTCCTACTCTGAGGAAGTGGAGATGTCTACGTGATTCAAGGTAGGTTTCAACCAACAAAACAGACTTTAAGAACTTTTCAGAAGTGTGAACATGGATATGCCATTTACAATTTGATAAAAAGAAATGATATGTTGAATGTTTGTGAACCTCAGAACACCTGAGATATTTATTGAATGCATGATATTGTGCTTCAAGGGAAACACCAACTAGGAATTAAAAAATTAAAATAAAAAGAGCAAAGTTACTAACTAGAATTTGGTTTTTCGGTTTGTAATGTGTCTTTGACTATAATGTAATTCATAAGTACAAAACTTACGGTTAGAATAGAACCAAAGTGTTCCCGATTTTAAAAAGTTTCACAATCAAATATATTTTGCAATTTGTTTAAAGACTTTTTCAAGGGAAAAAAAGAGTTGTGGTACCAACAATTTATCAAAGAACTGGTTCTTGAAAGTAACAAACAGACCATTTTTAACCACCTAAGATACTGTAAAAAGTATCAGATTCATGTTATGAAGAACTACAAATTATGAACTTAAGTTTCCTCTCTTACCCTGAGCACCACTTATCTGACTGACAAGTTCTCTGTGTGTTGGGGTGGCTCCTGGAAAATGATCCTGACCATGATTATTTAAGGAATGCTTAGCATTATCTTGAAAGTGAAGGAAAGTACCAAGGTTAGCTCTACATGAGAAGGGCAGAAGTAATGTCATATCGTTTATTATTTAAAACACTTTACAGTAAAACGACTGAATTACATGAATATGTACAATACAATAAGATGAAGATTAAAAATATATATTTATATAATAAGCTCAGTTATGTATGCATTCTGGTTGGTTCTCACTTATGATCTATTGGAGGACAGACAGATAGATGACGTCATCATTAAAACTCTTTTTAATTCTTTATTATATAAAACAAATAGATTCCAAGTTGCCGTGCATCTGTTCAGTAATAGATCACAGATGACGTCAAAATGTGGTAAGAACAAAAACGTGGCACAGTAAAGTAAAAACTGTCGGAAATCGTCTACTTAAATCTGGCAACTGAGAGATAATTGCTGAGAAGGCAAGCAAGTGCAATTGCCAGTTCTTACCAGCTGAGTGAAAAAAAAAACTAAAACATTCATCATCTTATATTTTGACAATCATTAGATACTAATTCTAGCATATTAAGAAATAATTTGCTTGTTTTTTTGGCAATTAATTGTAATTTGTGTGGTAGATGAATTGAATTTGTTTTAGCTCTTCTAAGGGCCAGACATGAACCAAAAACAAATTTACACCTGCCAACAATATCTTTGTTAATTGTTTTAGGCTTTGTTATTTTCTTTACATGAAAAGCTACAACAACTGTGATCACCAAAAATGTCTCAGAAAATCTTTAACATATTTTTGTCTATCTGATTTCTCGTAAAATAAAAGAAGGAGGAGGGGGGCTGCTTTTATCAGATTGGTTACTACACAAAGAATGTTACAGAGACATTTTAGCTGTTCATTCTTTCCTTACTTCAAACACAAGTCTGTTGAAATATCGGTAACCACATGTCCTCTTAGAGGACTTTTATTTTCATGAGTTGGCAATTTACCTTCAAAGTAGTAATGATAAGTCAACTCTTCCCTGAGTCACAAGGGCAAGGCTGATCTGCATTGACAGAAATGCACGCAAAGTACCAGCCCATATTAATACTTTTTGTTTTCACGAGTAAGCAATTTACCTTCATAGTAGTCATGATTAGTCAACTCTTCCCTGAGTCGCTTGCGAGGCTGATCTGCACTGACGGATGCTTTTCGCTTATCCTTCCCTGCTAAAGTTGCCCTAATTTCTGAAGAACCTGCATGCAACAAAATAGTGATGATTAACAACAATTGCAAACAGCATGCAGTGGCAAGTAGATCATGATTGTGGTAGTAGTAGTGGAGGAACCACATATATCATTAAAATATACTGAATGTCTTATGCAAAAGAAGCTCTTATAAACTTACTAAAGTAAAGATTTTATATATTGATTACTACGTATACTGTAATCCATATTTATAAAAAACGTGACCAGAGAAGTAAGAAAAAAATTAAGAGTAAATATCACAAGACCTGAAATGAGTAAACAAAACAAACAGTACATGTACAAGCTACAAAGGTCTGTTCACATCACAGATAAATCAAAACAATCAGCTCTGCAAGCTTCTATGAAATGGTAATTCATACCTGTACAGCCCGGAGCTGTATAGGAGTAAAATAAACTTGTAGAATGCGCTCAGTTATAATATTTAAAATATCCTGTTTGCAAAATTCACGATACAGTAGGCCAGTTTTTAAATGTGTTATGTTCTGAGCTTTACCTTGCAAGGGCTGAAGGCTGACATAATGTACTTCATGGACATGTCCTAGTAAAAGATGGTTGCTTTCGTCAAATGGACAATCTGGGTTGATAATTACCTCACTATGGCCTGGAAGACTACTAATCACATGAATGGCTATTTGATAACAGTTTGCTGCAGCCCAGAGAATCACATGATCACCCCAAGTGCCATCTTGTGCCATGTCTGTTAAGTAACCACCCCATGTTACGTGTCCATCCACAAAGTGAAACAGATCTGTTCCATGCACCTTCAAGAGAAAGTCCGACAAGATACCACATGATGTTGACAGTAATAGAACAACTAGTCTAGTAATGACTCAATATTGTAAAATTTTCATATAATAAATATGAACTTTAAAAGTGTTCAAAGACAAATACAAGACTCTTTCATTGCTTGGCTCAATAGTCCTTCAGAGTACTCCCTGTGTACTTTGGATAGAGTAATTTTTAAAACTAACTTATCTAATCTTTAAAATACTTGCAAAAAAGGATAAACTTAAATGAATGATTATAAACAAATTCATCTGCATCATATTTCTCACAGTTGTTCTAAAATAACACAGCAATAAAGACACTGTAGTGATACAAAGACAAGTTGTCCTTTTTAAATGCATCAACTTCAACTTCATGTATTACACACACTGATTTTTCTCCTGATCAAAGCCTTGACAATGTTCTAAAAATAATAATTCCCAACATTTAACTTGAATGTGGAGCAGAAGTAGCATTTGTAGTATCTTTTCTAGACATTACATGTACCTTACCAAATACTCACATTTTTTGGGTGCTCTCTTAGATACTGGACTAAGGAACGCCTTAATTCAAAATGATGGATCTTTACTCTTTTGACAGTCTCCAGTTGCTCTGACAAGGCATAGAACATACAATTTCCTGACCCTTCATTGTCAGAAATTCTATAGCCCTTTTCCAGAGCAATCTTCTTTAAGTCTGAGAGTTGGTCTGTGTTGCTGCTGATCTTAAATCTACTGGCATCCTGTTGCCACTTTTGAAGATTATGGATGACTTGTTCACTCCCACCTAAAAAAAAAACAACTTAATGATCATTACTTTATTCTTATACATGTAAATGACAAGTTGCTGACAAAAGCATGGCATATGGCTTAAGAAGAAAACAGAGATGAATACATAGGTTGAGGATTGACTATTTGGGAGCAGAGGGAACAAAAGTTCTCAAAGTTTAAGATATTTTTCAAGAATCTGTTGCAAAATGATAGTGTGACAACAAAGGTATACTTAGTATACAAGAACTTTATTTAAAAGTTCTGACAAAGGGCTAAAACTCAAACAAAAAACTTTGCATGGAGCTTTGACTCTTGTTACTTGCATCCTTCATTTTTTTCCTAAATCTAAGTCAATCTTAAAAAAAAACACCAATCAAGTTGACCATGCTTGCTCAACTTTCAACAGTACCTGCTTTATGTCTTGAGTAAAATAACTACAGAAAGTATTTCCCATGCAAATGCACTTTACCAAGTACATGTTTCAAAACTCTGAAACACTGTTCCAAATCTTGTGGGTAAGATTATTACATAACAATTAAGTTTATCTTTCTTGAGTATTTACCATTTTTAACTATTTGTTTGACTCAGGTCTATAAAAAAATTTATGGTTATCATAGGTCCAAGTTGACTCAAGGCTGATTCAACTTTTTACCAGTGTACCTGGTTTACCAGTTATTAGACAAGTACAGGCTGAAACATATAAATTTATATAAATTTACCAAAGACTAGGTTCCTCATCTTTATCACAAGACTCTTACAAGGCTCCTCCCAGCTATACTCCACCAAGTAATTTTCACAAAGAAAACGTGACTCTGAAAGTCTCACTTTTCTTTTTTTCTGTCGGACAAGCTTGATTTCTTTGGCCCATTCATTAGGATGTTCAGAGTTCACCACACTCTGTGAGCCAAAAGCCACTTCCCTCAGAGCTTTTCCAAGTCCAGAATTAGCACTGACAAGTACAGGCAGACCAGCAGATAACGCTTTCAGAGCTGTTATTCCGAAACCTTCTGTCCTGGATGGTATTATTGCAAGATCCATTTGACAAAATAAGTCAGCCAGCACTTCTCTGCTATCATCAAAGCTGCGAACAATAAGCTGACTATGACTAATTCCATGGTGGAGCAACTTTTCTGCCACAATATTTCCTTTTCCTCCAGCTGGGCAGACAAACTTGAGTTTGTAGGATTCATCGTTCAACTCAGCAATTGCTTTGGCAGCTATATCGTACCCTTTGACATTGAAATCTTCACAGCTGTCACCACTTCCAATTACAAGAATACAGAATGTTTCTCTTTCTTCAGCGGCTTGCTCTACTTCCAAAAATTCAGAGAAAATGCCTGGAGTGAGGTCAAAAACTTTTTTTTCTTGCTTAGCTCGACGAAGGTAACGCTTGTAAACTTCTGCCAGCTTGGGTCCAATTGTGATAACTTGATCAGCCATTTTACAGAGTTGGATTTCTGTTTCTTGCATTTTTTCACCTTCTGAAATGTTTTTGTACATTCCATCTTCTTCAATAGCAGAGTGAACAACTTGAATCCATTTGCAATGACTGTAATTTGGATTTTTCTTGATGAGTGGAATTAGTCGGCCAAGGTGAACTCCATGACCAATGACACAGTCCATTTTATGGTTTATTGGAGGAGATGACAGGCAAAGAACTGGCTCTAAACCAGGAGTTTTATCTGCTTCAATGAGCTTCACATTGCGACTTTTAGCACTGCTCCTGTCCTCTCCACTGCAATTTGGAAGCAAGACACAAACATCCACATTGGGGAGTTTAGCTAACTGGATGGCCAGCTCTCGGTTGATAGTTGACAAGTCCCCATCAGTTGATGATCTCCACTCACTACTTAGCAAAGTGACTTTCAGTGTCCTACTTTCCTGGTCTTCCTGTGACGTAGAGGCTACACTAGGAATGGTGGAATCCTACAACAACAAATCAAGAATGGTATTGACAATAAACTGTAAAACAATAATAAATCACAATAGTGGATGTCCACTCGATATGTAAAGTCAATTCTTTTGTCAACTTGCAGTTGAGTTTTATTCTATGCCAAAAAGTCAGATACATGTAGATTGAGACAAACCGACAGTCGGCCGACAGGTTTTTTGGGGAGCTCTTCTTCACAATTACCGGAAAATGATAAGTTGCTTTAGAGATCTATACTATCACTGTCACTGATTTCAACCATATTACATGCAGTTACAAGGAAAGTGAAAATTATCCTTAAAGGGTCTTCCTCTTCAACTCACTTTGAAATTGGTACATGTAGTTTCATTGAAGACATTTAGGTGAAAAAATAAGGGGATATATTAATGTTTTTGTCAAAATCAAAGGTTGGTATTTGTAAAAGATTTAGATCCCTCTTACTACCTTTTGTAGCCTTGACATCACAGGAAGCTTTTAATTTTGAAAAATTATGCTGGAAAAAAACAATACAAAATGTGAGTTTACTGAGTCTTTATTATGCTTTCTATTTCCTCTTAGAGTGTTGTAGAGACCACTTAAGGCAGTACCAGAGGCTAACTTGACCTTTGTTTAAGTTGCCTATTTGTTAAACATGACGATTGGAAAACAGCTTGTTCTCGAAATGAGAAGTTTTGTTTCCAAGGACAAATCTTGCTGCAAATAAAGATAAGATTTTGGTTTAATGGTGTTTGCTGTTCATGGGACATTTCCTTTAGATGACATTTTTGACACATCCATTTCCTAAGTAACAATGTGATATTGAAAAACAAAGTGCTATCTTATCATGGATTGAACTCAGGAAAGAGCTCTACAGTAGTTGACTACTTACACTTTCCAAGCAATGAAAATACAAATGTCATATTTTTGTGGTTCCTAGTGGCGAGGAACATTTACATCACAGTATACCACAGTCTGCAAAAATTTTCTGAGCGAGATAGTATGAGATTGTAAAATTGTCAAAATTGAATATTACTTGGCAGACTGCACTGACAATCTTTATCACCATCATCTTTGTGCATGTGCCAAACCATTTTGAGTAGTATTAAAAATTTGCTTGGATTCAGAGAAGTTTTTTTCTCCAAAATGGCCTTTTAGACACACACACTATTTCCATGAAATTCCACAAATTCCATGGCACTGAGCAAAATAAAAGTTTTTTCCCAGATTATGTGTAGAATCATATATCCCATGTAACAATTTCAAATCATTCCAACAAATCTATCAGTAAATATTTCTTTTAATACTTTGAGACAAAATTTACTGAATTTAGTGTCCAGTCCCACCTTAATTTGGTACCTTAAAGTAGACAGACAATTTAAAACTCTCAAAAACAGACAATTGACAACAATTTTAATGATATCAGAACCTACCAATAGCAAGTCATCTGACCACCACCTCCTTCATACATCCTAAACAGATAAAGAAAAATAAAAGAAAGAACATAATGTTTAAATACAGCACCTATTCTGCATTTGGACAGGCAT